AGAACATGTCAAACCCTTCTCTTCTCTTTTGTGGAATGCAAACTCAGCTCTGGATAGAAGGAGATTAAAAAGGAAAGAGGAACATTGAGTGATTGTCTGAAAAAAAGATCTCCCAATGCCTTTAGTGCAATTCCACGTGTTCAATCCTGAGGAACTAACAGCAGCAGAAATGGGACCACTGTATGTATTGACTACTCTGTGAAGAAGATGATATTTTATCCTTTATTCATGTGGGTGTTTTAGTAATAAAGTATTTATTATTTCAAGAAAACCTTTTCTTTGGTTTGCCCTTTTTATGCTTGTTTGAATCATTTGACCTGGTTTTCCCAAGGACACTTACAGTACGTCTACACAGCAACAGGCATTATTCCTCATCTCCACAACAGGCAGTTATTTCAAAATTATGTTGAAATACTCTCAAGCTGGAGGACTTCTTACTCTGACTCCTGTAACTTTCATTGTATGAGGACTAAGGGAAGTTGGAGGAAGAGTGCTCTATTTTGAAATAAGTGCTGTGTAGAAACTCCCAATTTAGAAATAAGCTATTTTGAAATAAGTTATGCAGTTGATGTAGCTCAAACTGCGTAGCTTATTTCGAGGTAAGCCCTGCTGGGTAGATGCACCCTAATGGTTCATCTGTACTGCAATGCTATTTCGGGATACTGGAGTATCTATCCCAAAATAGTTATCCCATGTCTTTACAGCAAGTCCATTATTTTGGGCTCACTATTCCGACATCCCTGTATACCTCATTCTACAAGGATTAAGGGACGTTTTGGAATAGCACTTTATTTTGAAATTTGGCGCTGTGTAGACAGCACCAAATGATAAAATAAGTTATTTTGAAATAGCATCAAACTACGATATACAATTTTCAGAGCTCAAATTGCATATCTTATTTTGAGTTACAGTGCTGTGTAGACGCACCCTAGAATACTATAGTAGTTAGTGCCCTCTTGCACAGTTTGAACTGAAGTTCACAATGCCTGAGCTGATAAAAAAGGCTTCATCACTCCTATCCATTTCCAATGAAGTTCTGACAAGGAGAATGGAGCTGTGGTTAAATAATTGAGATTTGTTCATGATGAATTGGTGGCCTGCAGGTCAGACAGGAATTGTTGTGGGTTGTCAGTATGCAGAAGAGATTGAAAACTGGAAGGAGGTGCTTTGCCCAGAAAGTCCAGAAGGGCTTTAAGCATTGTGTTTTGAAACTGATACAATAACATATTGTGCATTAGGTTTGGTAAAAGACATGGTATTGGATCAACCGTCCTGGAGAATTTGTGCTTTTGATACCAATTTTTTTGTTTTGAGCAGAAAGAATTCATTCTTTTGTGGTTTGAACTTACTGGTGGTATTTTATGGAGAAACTGGAGACTCCAAATGCTGCAATATTTCCAGGTTCTGTGGCAAACATAGCAAAGGGTGGTTTGCTGAGAAAGCATGGTTAGGACTCCATACATGCATGTGAGTTCTTCATGGCTTGTAGACTGATAATTGATTCTGATGTTTTCTTAAAATCCCATGCTTGTAGATCTAAAAAAAGGACCTGAAAAAATGAATAGCCTAGCCCCTCAAGCATCAGCCAGCATATATAGACAAGTACAAAATATACACATTTGAGTGACAATCTATGATCCCACTGTCACAACATGTCAAATCTCAGGGTTTTAGTACAGGTTGGACCTCCCTGGTATGGCACCCTGGGAACCTGAGTAGTCTTGAAGGAGGGAATTTGACAGACCAGGGGAGGTCAGCCCCTCTGCCAGGCTCACCTGCCCTTGGGCCACTGGGCTCCCAGCTCCTCAGTCAGTCCCAGGACTACTGGGGCTCCACCGTCCCAAGGGTGCCCGACCCTGCAGCTCCGAGGCCACCAGAGCCCTGCTGCTCCAAAATAACTGGGGCTCAGCTGCTCTGGGGCCACTGGAGCTCCATGGCCAGCCCGAAGGCCTCCAGCACTCTGCACCCCCAAAGTGGGGCTCTCTGGTCCAGCAACATCTGTGGTTCTATCGGACCATGGATGTTGCTGGAACAGGGAGATTCAACATGTACATTCATATTGAGCCAGGTTTGGAGGATCTATAACTATTAAACTATCAATAGGAATTTAAAAATATTTATTGTGAAATAGTTTGAAAAAGCAAAGGATGCATTCAGGTAAATTAAAATGAGTAATTTTAGGTGGTAGGAAGAAGGGGAAGAAAATTCTGCCACCAAAATGTTAACTCACTTGTTTGTATGCAGATGTTGCTTTATATGTGGTACCTAAGATCAAGTATTCATGAATCTTACATCTCTTTCAAATTACAGTTAGCTTGGAATTCACTTTCATGGCAGATCAAAAGCAAACCTCCATTGTTGTTTCAACCTAGATTGTTAATGTAATATGTATACATTATGTGCATGTATATGCATGGAATACATGATGGAGCAGTATGCTATAAAGGTTTTTATTGCCACGAATGTGGGATCATTAAATTTCTCAAAAGTGGCAAAGGCATTTGAGAGTTCTGCAGCTCACCTTAGATGGGTGTCCATCAATCTTTTCACCACAGCATGCTGCAGTTTTTTTCTTAATAGGCTATATAGATTATAGGGGGAAATGTTCTAAAGTTCATTTTTTATATAGACTTTTTTATATCTCTGTGGATAGGAAGATACTTTAGTTACCCTGAGAACCACTGCAAAGTCAGAGGGAGAAAAACAATTGAATGAATATATAGACCTAAAATATTTTTAAAGTCTAATATAGTGAACTCTTGTCACTTCCGAACAGGAGATACCTTCCTTTCTCACCCATTTAGAACTCATTGTTCTAGCTTTCAAGGATGAAAGATGCCAGGCTAAAAGCCATGACTTTCTTGTGCTAGAAAAGCTATTCTTAGACCAAGCCTGGATCTTGCCATCCTAGATTTGTGGCTTGGGCAATTTTGGAGAAAAAAAAATCCACATTTGAGGTGGGAGGGGGTAATGAGGAAATATTTCCTTGGCAGGTTGATTTAATAATATGACATCTGTTCCAAGCTGCTGAGGGATCTGGAGGGCAAGAATAAATTTAAGGGAATTTTTATGAATAAATATATTTCCTGTGAATTAAGCCCCCCACCCATGCCTTCACTCTGCTTTTATTCAGGCAAAGCTCTTCTGTCCTCTGTGCCTTTTACCTGTATATGTATTGAGCAAAGGCTGAGTGAGAGCTTCAGAATTTGACTCCAGATATATTTTTGTTTAATAGGTCATGAAGACATCAAAGTCCCCACACGATGGCACCCTCTACTTACACTGAGTGTCCTTTACCACAGAGACACGTATTCAGGTATTTCTCTGTATCCAACCCAGTTTTAATTCACCAGGGAAGCAAGATTAGAAGTTTTAATAGGTTCTCCCAAACATGGTCCAGGCAACCCCAAATCATCAGAATCAGCAGCTCTCCTTTTCTCGGAGGAAAAAAACCGCCTCCATTTATTCTTATATTATTTGGTCGTTTCAGTTTTCGATGTTTAATTGTTTGTCAAATGCCAAAGGGCTATGTCAGTATTTAAGACATTGTTTATAAACAAGTGTGTATACAAGTGCTGTGTCACATATCGAGACTTTCCATAATCGCATAGTTTACCATGTCTAAGGGAATACTTCTTTCCAAGTTACATTTCCTGAACCCCCGGAAAAATACTGCAATCTTGAATGATCGTAATAGGAATGTAATTGTGTGGTTTTTGAGACATCGATTGGAGCTCAAATAGCTCATTGAAACATGTTTCACCAAAACCATTGAAATAGGAAACAGGAGGACTAAATTATTGCTGCTTCCTGAATTCTCTGCTGATGATCGAAATAATTAAAATGCACGGTAATGGCTCCTGCCGTCTGTATTTCTTTGGGTAATTCTCGGAAATGAATCTGAATTTCTCTCACTGAGGGGGAGCAAGCGGATCATCGAAATAGCAAGAGGTTTGGCAGCCAGACGGTGGTCTTGCACAAGCGCGTCCGTGCCTCCACGTCATTTTCAGTAAAATAATATGAGTTGATTGAGATCTCCCAAAGGAGGGATTCCCTTAAGAGTCCATAAGCAAATAAACTTTTAATGGAAATCCTCTCTCTTTTCCAGTCTGCCTGTGCTGCCCTGCGTGGGGATCCACTCGCAGGCAGGAGGCAGGACGGGCAAGGGCCACGCGTAGACACGAAAAAGTAACTATGTTGAGATCCGTTCTTATCAGTGACAAATGAATCAGGGGTTGCGACTTTCTAATCATGTCTGTATTTGTGGCCGAAATTAACACGCACCATCATCAAATAAAGGACAGCATCGGACCCTGTGGCGTGTTTTCCCAAATAGGAAGGGTTGTTTCCCAGTCCCACGCCCAGAAAAAATATAGGGACTCGCTCAGAAGGGGCTCTCGCTTGCGGTAAATATTGTGTTGCTACAGTGATTGAGAGGCATCAGAACTGTATAGGCTGAATGATGGCACTGCTAATTTTCCTCTGCCCATCTGGGAACCCTGTATTAAAATAAAGTGCGGACAATGTTATGCCAAGTCAGGCTTTCGGTTGCCACAGTCCCCCAGTTCAGCACCACAGAGTTTGGACAGCTCCACAGTAGGAGCCTTCCGCTAATCAATCCACCCACCACCAACCAGCAACTGTCAATTCCAAACTCTAATTAGAAAATGACTGAGAAGCCTCCAAGACTTCAAACAGCCTTTAAAACAAAACAACAACAACAAGAACGCGAACGTATTTCTTTATTTGATACCCCCCCTCAAAGGAGCATATGCACCACATTAGAACCCTGAGACTTGCCAAACGAATTTATAGAGACGTGATCAGATCAGAACTCATCTTTTCAGACAGATCTGCCTCGTGGCTAAGCTGCTGGGGATGGAGGATGGGGTCTAACATTTCCTCAGCAGCCTATTAGCCCTCCCCCCCCCCCCCCCCCAGCTCGAATCAGGTAGAACTTTATAAGCATCAAATCTTCTAGACCTCTGTGTAAAAAAAAAAAAAGTGTGAGTTAAAGTGTTTATGAGAAGCTTATGACTCTCGATCAGATCATCCGCGAGGACGGCACAGAATTGTTGTGTTCCTTGAGGAATTGAGGTAGTGACGTCTTTTCTGATACCCGATTATTACGTGACTGAAAAAAAAACCTCATTTGATTCATGAATAAAAATCCGAACGCCACAACAGTGCAACAAACAATACCGCTGTCCTTAAAGGTAACATGCAGACCGACGTTTACAAAGAAGGCTCTTGATAAAGCAGGGTGTTTGCAAAGATTTTGTTGCTAATTGCGTAAAATAAAAAAACACCCCGAGCTGCTGCGGAAGGCTGGTCAACTTTGGAGTCACCGAGCAAGAAGAAGGAGAAAGCAGCAGCTGAAGCGAGAAGCATCTCAGTGAAGGAAAAGATCAGGGGAAGAGAACATCTCACTGGCGGCAGCTCCCACTAGCCCTGCTTCTGCCTCCCATCCTCTCTCTCTCTCTCTCTCTCCTTCTTGTGATCCTTTCTCTCTCTCCCACCCTCTGGATTTCTGTCCTTTTCCCTTCCTCTCTTTTTCTTGCTGTCCTTTCTCTGGCAGACTCCACTCCAGCTCTGCGCTGCTACCTACAAACTTTTTGGAGCGGACCCCTGCAACAAATAACTGCTGCTCTTCTGCCTTCGGCTCCTTTGCTGGTCAGAGAGGCGATGCCGCAAGAGTTCTAACTATTTCGGCTGAAAACTTGGGAGACAGTTTATTATTCTTTTTTTGAAATCTACCCTGTAACTGCGCGGCCAAACGCTCTTAGTGCCGGGTGTTAAGAGTTTAATGGTAAGGAAAAATGTAGTTGCCTCGCAGGCATTTCAGCAGCGTTAACTAGAGAGCGATCGGGTTTCGTTAGCACAGGCATTGGTGTGTGTGTGTGTGTGTGTGTGTGTGTGTGTGTGTGCGCGCGCGCCTGTGTGCTGGGAAGGGGGGGCGGATTGTGTCTGGATGCTGGTAACTGAAGACAAGCGGATCCACACACAAGTCGCACACACGTTTTGTTGTTGTTAAATCGAGCCCACTTAGGACTTGATTTCCAACAGGGTAGATTTAGCTGGAGGGGAAAAGGAGCATTTTGACAGCAGTTTCCCCCCCCCCCTTTTCTTTCCTTACACACAGAGTGGAAATGTGTAGCAAAGCGATCCTAGCCTTACTCATCTATGGGATAATAATGCACTGCAGCGTCTACTGCTCACCTGCTGCGGGACTTCCGTACTCTGCGCTAAGGTAGGTACCTTCTTTATCCCTCCCTCTTCCCGATCCCGGCAGGACTCGCATCCCCGGCTTTCCCCCCCAGTGATGCTCCTGCCTCTTGGCAGTCGCACCCAGGTAGCTAGAGAGCATTGGCCGGGAGTTGTCTCTTGGACTCTGCATGTGACTGGTAGCTTTTTATTCTCCCTCTCTTGCTAGCGGAGTACACCTCTTGCAAGTAACTACCAGCATCCAGAAAGAACAGCTCAAGAGTAACCCCCTCCCCCTACTTACCGACTGCATCTCCCTTCTTGGGGAGCTGGGGAAAGAGACTCGGGACTGAGGCTGCTTGATTAAACCTCCCAATTAGTGTCCGTGGCGGGGGAGATGGACTAGACTCTTCTGTTCTCCAGGAGAAGGAGGGTTTAATGGACTAGCCTCTTGCTTCCATCGGGGCTTGGTAGCTTGCAGGATTTTACGCTGTGTTATTTCCAACACATGCGCGGCCGTTTCCCGGTTCCCCTTTCTCCCAAGTAGTAATGAGACCCACTGACTCTGCTCTTGGTGAAACTATTCGATTTCTGTGACTCGGGTCCTGAATGCACCGCAGTTCTCGGAAGGTAGCATAGATCTCGCAAGAAAAAGCCGATTGCCCTTTACAGTGGATCCCTTTTCCGACAGGCGCTCCAGCACAGTAACATGCATTCATTCCCGGCCACCTCTGAGCCTAACTTGGGTGGCCATAGGCTGCTAAAATTGGGTTAACAGGTACTTCCTGGATAGACAGGGACCCAGATGAAAGCATTTTGAATTAGACCGCTGTTAGAAAAGGATTGTCACGGCACAATGCCTGCAAGAAGGGTTACTTGTAGTGGATACTGAAGAGTATGTGGAGATAGAATAAAACTTAGTTTTACAAGACATCTAATATCCCCCTGGGTTACCTCTCTAATAGAGATTTAGATATGTTCTAGATAAGTCCGCCCCCCACCTGTGGGGTGGGCTAAAGCAGTTTCAGTTCTATTTTCCGGCTGCTTTTCAAAGGTCGCTGGAGGTGAGAGGGGGCTACCCTAGTCTCGGGCTGGGCAAAGCCTGATCCGGCTCACTCTCATGGGGATTTGGGTTCAAGACTCCGTAAAATTCTCTCGCGCTCCCTTGAATCGGAGCAGGACGGAACAGAGCCGCCAAGATTCCCGAACTTTAGCGTCACCTCTTGAGCCGAGCGTAAGGGCAGCTGATTCCGCAAAGGACGATTTCCCGGCACTTCATAGGAGGGAGTGACGCTTTACACAGCGGCGATCAATCTACTTCTGGCTCTTAGCCTGCTGTAAATCTGGCCTCACTGAACTAGCCGCGCTTCTGACAGCGGAAGAATGGGGGAGCTGTCCGACCCCCACCCATTCTTAGCTCGGAAAAGTGAGCCGCCCTGCTATTTCCGCCAAGTCACCCGAGTGCTTCGGCACTAATGGGCGTCGCAACAGCTGAGCCGCAAAACTCACTGCGGGGCGCGTGTGAACATTCGGAACGCGCCCAGGGGTGCGGGGCCGCACACGCTCCGGAGTGGCCTTAAACGAACCAACGCCTTACCCGGGGCTTTGGAATTCAGATCGGGGCCCCGGACTTGGAGAGGGGGGGGGCGATGTCCCAGTAGGCATGGCCGGTCTTTCCAGGGGGCTGTAGATAGGATGAGGCGCCATTCGTTTGGGAGGACCTGGCTCGGTTCATTCAAGCGCCTGAATTAGCAGGGAGCGAAACACTTTAGACGCATCTATTATTAATCTCCCTGCCAGCGCGCGGAGACAGAAATAGCTGCCTGAAACGCTCAGTGACCTACATCTTGCCGCAGAGAGGGAGAGAGGGAAAACAAAACTCGAGTGATCTTCAAGGACAGAGGCACCATTCAACGAAAACCACAAACAAACACAAGCCCCACCCCGATGCCACTTGCTGGGAGAAAGGAGGAGCAGGCACTTGCTATCGGCAAAGCTTCTGAAGGGGGGAGGGTGTCTAGAGAAAGCTGATGCCTTTCAATGGGAAATGCTGTTCTTCTTGTCTCGCTTAACTTATAGCAGCCTCCCTCCCTCCCCCCCAGCGCCTGAGTATGTAGTTTGGAAAGCGATCAACATTCGTGCTGGGAGCGGGGAGCCATCAGCTGCTTACTTGGCAGCCCTTGGACTTGGTCCTGGCCCCAGCCTGGCAGCAGGTTGGTTTGCTGGTGTGTTTCTCTCGCGCCTGGTCCTACACTGATGAAGAGGCAGGGAGGGGGAGGGGGAAGAGTGCAAGGGGATAGGGAGAGAAGGGCAGAGGAGCAAGTGTAACCCTGGCTGTGCACTCCTCGAGCAGGGCCTGCAGTCCAGCCTGGGAACTGACCATACTGAAATCCAGTCGGTCCCTGGCTGAGGAGTAGCCCTCTATCAAAGGCTCCTATCTGTAGGATTTCTCGGGATGCACCGCCCGCGTGTGAATTCTCGCCCTTTGCTTTCCGGACTAGGCTGGAAGACGAAGTCTACGACGAGGATGGGCACACGCTGCAGGACTTCGCCTTTGACAACGACCCGCTTGGCATAGCGAACCCTTCCTCCCTGCTGGACGACGTGTACACCCTGTACTACCCGCCGGAAAAGAGGTGATCGGGGAGTCCCTTGCTCTGAGCTGGAGCAACACGATTCTGGTCAATTACATTCTGCTCAGCCGCTGCGGAGCTCTCGCTCTGTGTCCTGCCAGAGGAGATGAAAGCAGCCCTTACCTCACACCGGGGCGGGGGGAAGCCTGGCTCACCGGGAACCCGCCCCGCCCGGCGAGCGCTGAGCTCAGGAAATGAGGCTAGGAGTGCCAGGGCTGGGAGGGCTCTGCTGTCCCTGGGGGGCCGGAGGCGGAGGCACGCGGGGTACAGAGCAGCCACCAGCCAGCCAGGGGCTTCCTTTCGCCAGCCCGCCTTGGAGTGGGGGGCTGCTGAGGTCCGGTCCCCAGGCTTGGGCACTGATCTGTCCTTGATCTTTGTTCCCTACTTAGGCACGCCGATGGGATATTTAACAAAGCCTACAGGAAAGTCCTGGGCCAGCTCTCCGCCAGGAAATACCTGCACTCTTTGATGGCCAAGCGGGTGGGGTAAGATTTGTATTGTGGACTTTATTTTTTTGTTTATTTCACATCAGGCAAAACCATCGTTCTATGAAACCAGGCGCGATGCACCCCCGGGGGGTACTAGCTTGTGACGCTGGTGCGGTTAGTGTCGCACGCCATCAGCACGCTGGCTTGGGCTCGATCTCCGTCTGGTCCCTAGTGAAGGGCAAGGTGACAAACCCAGATGACTGGTTGATGCCAAACGGGTGGCCACTTTAAAGACAGTCCTGTAAACACTAGGGATTTGGCTCCGAGATTCAGGCCGGGGGCAAGAACGGCAGCAAGAGAAGAGTTCAAGTGCAGAGCTGGGAATTGTAGATCTCCTGTCCTTGGGAAAGGTTAGGATCCACCCCAGTGACAGCGAGGGGCTTCCACAACCGAGGGGCTTCCATTGGCAGGAGGCAAGCCCAGGGTAATGAAGATCATGTGGGCAGAAGGTAACATTTTAATAAAGCCCACGGGGAAATAAATTGCATTTTCCTAATGCATAATTCATGCCATGCATAGATTGTCTCTCGACTGTCGACTGGTATTATGATCAGATTTCAACTCCACCGAGTGTTTACATCGAGTCTTTGTTTCTCTCGGCCTTCCCCGGTGTCTACATGTTGCGTTAGGTGGCTTCATTCCCCTGGCCCTCCCCAGTCGAATAGCTAGGGAAAAATCAACAACACAAAGACAGGTCTCCCTAAGTGACAGCTAATCCTCATAACCTGGAAAGGTTAAAGCAGCCCGGGGGCTACTGGAGCCACAATGCAAAGTAGGGAGGGAAGGCCTCCAAGGTGCAGGCAGGACAGGGGAGTGGATCCAGATGTTGCAACTCTCCTTTGCTTTCTCGGCAGCGGTGCCAGCGGCCTGGAAGACGACTCGGAACCGCTCCCCAAACGGCACTCGGACGGCATCTTCACAGACAGCTACAGCCGCTACCGGAAACAAATGGCTGTCAAGAAATACTTGGCAGCAGTCCTGGGGAAAAGGTATAAACAAAGAATTAAAAACAAAGGACGCCGAGTAGCGTATTTGTAGCGATGAGTAACTCACCACTCCTGTGTATACAGAGCCCTAGAAAAAAAAGAAAAAAAAAAAGAAAAACAAAAACAAAAGTCATTTCCAAAGTGACTGAACAATCACCGCTCCTGTGTTATCTAAACATGTATTTATGTATGAAGTAAAGCCATTAAATGAATATTTTGATAATAATATTGTTTTTCTTTTTGTATAAAAGCACTAGAGAAACGCACAGATCTACTTTGTGGACCAATCATTAAGTTATATATAATATATAAATATATATATAAATATTACTGAGAGAGAACAATTCTTCATATAAAGCGTGCACAAGAACAAAAAAAAAATTCGCTACTACTGATAGAGAACAATTCTTCATATAAAGCGTGCACAAGAACAAAAAAAAAATTCGCCTGAGCTGTTTATGTTTTTATATAAAATAAATAGAAAAAAGACAATCATTGTTTTGAATATTGCTCCTATTTTTGTAACGGAAATTAAAAGGATAGTATTTTTATCCACGACAGGGTGGAAGACATTAATAGTCACCATTTGCTACTGTACATAGACACTGATGCCCTGCTACAAGGGGATTATGGTGATAATGATTTGGAAGAATTGCTGAAGCAGATTCTTCCCCCGGTGAGTCTCAAAACAGGCTCCTTTACCCCTAGCCTATTTTAAGGGGACACTGTCTCCCCTCCCCCGCGAAAGATTTCAATTTTTCTGCTTTCTTTGATTCCACTTTTATATGTATTTGTGTCTCTCCCACACTGAGCTTAGAAAGATAATTCTCCTGCGGTGAAACAACAGCTCTGTCAAAATTGTGCATCTCTGACTATCGGAGAGGGGAAAATATTTAGCCCCCTTCCTTGTTCTTCTAACTGATTGGGCACAGCTCCAGAACAAAGCAAACCGGAAATTAGAGCTATTTGGAAACAATTTGAAATTTAGATCCTGGGAAGCGCTAGAGCTCAGATCAGAGAGGAGGTGCCCCTAAGGAATGCGTGGGTTTAGGTCTGGATAACATGAGACAATTCCACTTTAGATCCACTACCTAACTGACCGTGGGCAGCTCGGTATTGGAACTTGATGCAAAGTATAATGTGTTACTCTCCAGTGCTGTCCATGCCTCTCATCATGTGAAATGACCGGGATTCTCTCCTTTGAACTTTTCAAGCGGAGTTGCTCCTTTCCTTTGTTGTTTTCTTGTAGACACTTCCTCCCCCCAACCTGTCTTGCACTATTTAAAGCACGGTTCTCTCATCTGAGTCACGTATGTTTTCTTTCCCTTCAATTTAAGGTTGTGAACGCGCCTCTCACTCTTTTGTTCTGTTTGATGCAAGCTCTTATTGTAAAAGTTTAGGAACCCCTGTTGTAGCTACCACTAAATAATTATGCACTACAACTAAAGTTTTGTTCTTGTTTATTGAGTTTGGAGGTAAAATGTATTTTTCTACATTATGGCTTATTGCTTAGTAAAATTTATTTCATAAAACAAACTTTTGTCATAATAGAATGTGTAGTGTTCACATGCGGGTCAGTTTCTAATAACCGATGGGTCATTCCAACCTCACCTTTATATGTACGGATTTTCTGGGGGAAAAGACAAAGCAAACCAGCCCGAGGGACCTTTCCATTCCTTCGCCTGGAAAGTGACTAAAGAGGACATGTAGGTATGTTTCCTTTCAGCTCACTAAACATATGCTAGAGGAATCTTTTGAAGGAAAACAACAAGCCCCGAATTACAGTCTTTGGTTGCTTAAAAAGGAAAGCCACGTGTAAAATTTAAAAGACTTTTCATTTTCCTTTACCAGTCCTATCAGTGTAAAGTAATAAATCAAAGAAAACAGAATTGAGTTTGCAGTCCCAGGCGGGATGGCCAGTGCCAGTGGAGGTTATTGCAAACAGAGCTAGCACATAGGCATTCGATCTATGCCTGAGTAGTGTGTATGAAATCAATCTTACTTTAATTTTGCATTCTCCTCAGGCAATGTGACGCAGGATGCAGTTTGCAGCTTTTCGTGCCTTTCCTCGCCTTTTAAATCGCCACGAATTCACAGATGGCTATTTAGTGGCCCTACAATGCTGCAACACATCAGCTTGCATTTTAGTCTTAATGATTTGTTCTTGGATAATCGGGCAGACGTTGCTGTTTTTGTGTCAGCTGTGGTATAATGAAATAGGGCTCTCTTGACGTTTTATTTATGAACTATCATTTAGAGTTCAGTGGCTAGTTGCAAGCATTATAAAGTGATCACGTAGGTTATCCTCTGTATAATTTTTAGAAACGCCAACAGCCTTACTAAAACTGAGCAGATTTGAGCTGCAGTGATAATTTAGGTAGATGTTAGTCTTGGAAATCTTATTTTGTGTGCAACTGAATATAAAATAACTTATAGTATTATTACACACATGATATATATAACTAGGACTTTGATAACTGTTATATAAAGTGTGTAAAGTTTGTATTAATAAATTTTTGTAAACAATGCAACTTCGTCTAATGTTTGGGGGCAAGATCTAGCACTTAACAGCAAGAGCTGTATTTCATTTAAAATTTATTTAATTAGTTTATTTTTAAGCAGTATTTTCTAACATTTTTATGTCTGGAATCTCTCTCTCTCTTTTTTTTTTTTACTAAGCCTCCACATGTTTTCATCAGCTGTCCTCTAATCTTTTATTGATGGGTTACTTCTATATTCTAGTAGGCTAAAAAGTAACTACTGAAGTAGAAAAATGAAGCTTCATGAACACTTGATAAATAAGCCTTCCTAAAATATACAAAACCCAACCAATGTCCTAGAGTATCTTTCCCCCACATAGTAATCTATATGTCCTATACTTAGGAATTGCTTATGCTTAACGAACAGGAAAAACTTAATGGAATTTTATTTAAACTCTTCCAATGAACATTTTGGCATTCAAAATATACTTTGTAATATTACTTGTCTGCTGGAAGGGTACTAGTACTGGGTTTAAATTATGCCAAGTGAAAAATTAGCTGTACTAAAATAGGTATATTGTAGCACATGAAGAGTTAATTAGGTTTCTTAAACAGAAATATGTCTGGTAGATACAAGAAAAGATGCAGGCTGGTTTGTCAGTACAAAGTCTATCTCAGAAAATTCTACAGGGAAATCTTCAGTTAAACGTTTCAAGAATAATTGGAAAATGCTGACATCACTCTCTGCATGCCTATGATTATTTCTGCTATAGTAGCTCAGTGACCTGTTGAGGTCCCATCTAGTCCTACATTTCTATGAATTTATGGTGTACTTAAATATTTTGGAAAAGACCCAGCAATGTAATTTTAACTGTCTGAAACCACACAACTTTGTTGTTCAAACTTCAGGAGGGGCATGTAAATGAAAAGATTAAGCCACAGAAATATATTATAAATTCTCAACAACATTTTAAAATGATTCTCCAAGGATTTTTCATTTTTTAACTATGAAGCCAGTGGCTATAAGAGATTTTTTAGATTGTCAGTGTCCAGTGTCAGTTTTACCTAGCTTACTGATTAGGTTAGGGAACAACATTTCATTAATAAACAAGAAAGGCTGAGATAATTTCAACAAGCTAGTGGTGTCAATAGTCTAACATGTGGAATGTCTCCGAGTATGATTTTTTCATATTGCATTAATAGGTCATGGACAAAAATGCAAAGGAAAATGTAGTTTATGAAATTGGCTTCTTAAATTGATAGAGAAAGTGAACGAACCCAGAGTTTTCCAAAAGCAGTGTTCATTGGTAAATAGTAATAAAGTTAAGATCTTTTAGGTATAGTGACTTGGAAGGTAAAATGTGGGATTAATTTATCAATTAACAACCACCATCTCACTCAACATGGTATCAATCCTAGTTGAAGACATGAAGAAAGTGATGGATAGTCTTAAATGACAGAAGCAGAATTAGACTTGTAATATGCATCCAAAGGCATCTTTGTCAAAACAAGGAGTGCTCCATTAAAAAGCTCACCCCAATCATTTAAGCATAAATATTAAAAATGTACACTGTACTTATGAATGACGGGTTTTGTGCAAATTCTTTGTGTTGTAAATCTTGTTAAACTTTAGACACTTTAAAAGATATAGACACAGAGGAAAAAAAGTGGAAAAAATAAGTAGGATGTCGTTCTGTGATCCTGAATTGTAAAGATTAAAGTAAACCATTGCCTTTCCTTGGCTACCTCAAATTCAATGTAGCAAAGGGTGCTGAATATACTGGAACAAAGTTATCTCTGGTGTAACTCTGTTACCTTTTGCAGAATAATACTAGAGATGATTATGACCCAATATATTTCTCACAAGAAGCCTTCTATGGAGATCTAGAATACATTGCAAAGTTTCTGATTGCAAATAATACTTGTAAACACCTATAAAGCTTAGGCATTGAGGGAACCTGGAAGCACAGCTCAAACCTACTAATTGTTCTCCAGAGCCTGGACACCAGTATTATTTCAGAACAAGGCATAAAATAGCAGAGCCCCTTCCTGACTTCTGAGAGACACCTGAGCAGTACCTACTTTTGAATGTGCTGAAATTTGTCCCCTATTGTTTTGGAAGCTGTTTCCATGTTCAGTCTTGAACATTCCCTAATGTTCAAGTTTATCAGTAGAACGTATACATTTTTGTCTAAGGTTGAGGAAGAAATCTTCAGCCACTAATCTTTGATGCCTACCAGGCAACTTCAGAACTAAAATTCAAGAGGCTAATATTTTAGGCTTCATCATGCCTTCTTCTTCAGGCAAAACTCCTCATGAAAATCCCAAATGGAAGTTTCATGAAGCAAGAACTGCAGGGCCCTCCCCCAAAGTGCAAATACACCTAAGTAATTATTTCCAGGATTTTCAGGCCAGAAGGGACCATTATGAATGAATGACAACGGCCATAGATTTTTACCAAGTTATTCCCATATCAAGTCCTTAACTTCAGAATGTCTTATAGCAGGACAGCCAGTTTTGATTTAAAAACTTTAAGTGATGGGGACTCTATTATATCCTTGAGGTGTTCTAACTGTTAAAAATTGAGCCTTATTTTTCGTCTTAGTTTGTCTAGATTCAGCTGCCAGGTATTGCTCTGCCTCTGTCTGC